GTGGTGGATTTTTAACATATTTTACTCTTAACAGTACACACTCTTACATAGCAGCTGTTAAGCTCTACAGAAAATGTTAAGTATTGAGTTGCTGTATACCATATTTAGCTGCATATTTGTTGTGAACTTAAAATGGAAAAGGTACGAGTTTACAGACTTCAATTCCAACTGTTGCTTTGTGGAAAAATGTATCTATGTTAAAAACAAAACAAAAACAAATTTCTTTAAAATTCTCTCTTTACAGAATTTTAAATCTCATCACATTGTGTTCTTTGGAAACTGTTTATTTTGTATTGTAACTATATGCTTTTACATTTAATTAATAACTTTAATTCCACATAATTTTTTTTTTTACAAAAATTAATATTTTCTTATTTTTCATTGTTACTTCATTTACATAAAATTGAGAATAATATATAAATATATATATATATGGAAATAAACTTATGTTTATTTCCAGTAAAATTAGTAATTGACTTAAGCAAACTAACAATACAGAAGACATAATAGTATTAAGCACTAATGACATTATATCCTTTTCCTTTGTATATTTTCTCTAAGTTTATTAAATCAGTTTGCTTTGTAGGTAAATCAATTAATGACGCCAAAACTTGTTAACAAAATGAAGTTCTAGGCATCTTCTAGGCACACATGTAAGCCATAAAGCGTGTCGGTAATTAAATTGTACAGCTTTTAGCTATTAACACAGCCAAGAATTGAGTGACACTATAAGGAAGAAATGGGCATCCCACAATTCAAGGCAACTCTGGTTGTTGACAAAATGTGACATGATAATTAAATGTCTAATGAGCTAAAAAGAAATTAAGTCATTTTGGATTATATTTTGTGTCTTCCCAACATAAAAATATTATTTTACTCTATGCTCGATACATTGTCTTGATAAGTTGGTTTCGCTTTTGATCCTTCTGAAGATACAATGTTAGTTGCTTTAAGCTGCATATTATGACAATAAATTTATTTATTGTTTGCTTAACATTAATTTATATTTAATACTATATTTACACTTAGACTTATTAAACGTATTCAACGTAATTTTATGACAATCATGTATGAAATATGTCACATACTGCAATATATTTGTCCACTATAATAATGTAAACATTAACTTAGGTTAGGTTATACCAGCGTTGCCGTATATATAGGTAAAACTCATGGTTTAAAACCACCTAGAACCTTTGGCAAAGCATTAAATAGTATTAAGTGTCAGGTCTTATAATTGGTCAAGGTGCTATAGAAAGGGGTTCCTAGAGTATTAAGTCACCGCCGTGAATGAGCTGGGCAAAAACATAGTAGATAAGAGGCAATCTCATCTTCTTCGCAGCAGCTGCGACAGGTTTGATTAAAAGGAAACTTCAATCTTCTACCATTGTTCCCTAGTTTTCAGTGACTGTAAGTAAATCTACCAAAAGACCGATATATCCACGGGACATCTCAATGAGAATTTTTGATTTCCTTTTATTGGAACGTGGCTAGATTGTATACAGATGTCTGCATATCGTTGAGTGTTCCCATCTTTTATTCAAAATTTCAGAAATGTTTTAATGTAAACATTAAATAAATTTAATAATTATATAAATTTAATCATTTTAATAACAATAGTTTTTTATTCCAATTTTTCACATTAAAATTACAAAATTTAACTTTTCATAATATTAACGTCGGTTCTCATCTGTAAGTTACTAATAATTATGGTTTTATATCTACATATTATTTGAAAATATACACTACAGTAAGCACAAATTAAACATCTTGCAAATCTGCACCACAAAATTAAAACCATACTATTATTACGAAAGTCCTTTTGCAACAGTGCACAGTTTAAAATTGATTGTTTTGCAATTTTGGTTTGAAGCTAAAGTCCTTTAGTCCTTTGTGCTTACACTATCGCCAGGAAGCAAATATTCACATTAGTAACACCAAATTTTGTACTCAGCTTAATTAAAGACACCAAACTCACACATTTCAGTTAGTGTTTATTGTGTATACTTACTGTATTTAGAAAAGGTTTGTGAACGCTTCGGTACACCTGACTCAGTTGTTCACATTTGCTGTACAGAACTTAGTGCAACTCCAGTGGATATTTTTACTCCATTTACGAGTACATATACATATATATGTTATGTGTCAATTTATTGCTGCCATGTCCTTGTTTTCAGCATGCAAAACCCACTGAGACTTTAGTCCTCATTTGTGCATATTTCGAAACGTTGCAAATCAATTGTGTTGAACTCAATATTTTGATTGATTGAAATTGTCTTGATGAAGTGGTCACCAATCACCTACGTACAGTTACAATAAGTTGTAATTTACTATTCCATATGGAATTTAAATAGTGATTGTTCTTCAGCTTTTATATGAATCATTTGTGTTTCAGTTGTAATTTGGTCTTCGGTTCCGCTCGGAATACCAGCTCAATAAATTTATGCGCTTGCAGCACATTCGTTTGTAAATTGCTTTGGAAAGAAATTATGCTAAATAAATATATTAATATATTAAGTAATAATAATTATAATCATAAAAATGTTTTTAATAAAGTAATTGTAATTAATTGTAATTGTTTCAAGCATTTCACGATGTAGTCTTTTAAAAATAA